ATTTGGTGCCCCCAAAGAAAGTTTCCCGCACACCCCTGCTCCACTAAGGACCCTGTACAGAGTGCAGCACCCAGAGCCCTGCACCCCAAACCCCCAAACCCTAAACCCTAAACTCAACATCCTAAACGCTAAACCCTAAACCCTAAACCCCAAACCCTAAACCCTAAACCTAAACCCTAAACCCTAAACCCTAAACCCTAAACCCTAAACCTAAACCGTGTCAGGCAGCAGCCCTAGCATCACCCCCACGGGTCGATGCAGGAGCCGGGCCGGGCGCATGGTGGGACTTGTCGCGGGGTGTTTAGGGTTTAGGGTTTCGGGTTTAGTCGTTACAAACCCTATGTAGGGATCCGCCCCTACGAAGCCAGAAACCTTCTTTAACGCGTCAGGCCTTTACAGGACTGGTGTCGGACTTTAAGCAAACTGCGCTGTACAAGTTGATCGACACGATATGGGGATTGCTGGGGCATTGCTCAACCATCAGAGGGAGAGTGCAGTTGCCTAAACAATTACCCAGACGATTCCCGCTCTGAGAAACAAGGCTGCATTAAAGACCCCAACACCGTACCTGAGCCCTGCAGTAACCCCCTAAACCCAAAGACCCAAAACCCTAAGCCCAAAACCCCAAGCCCTAAGCCATAAGCCCTAAACCCTCAACCCGAAAACCTCTTTTGTGCAAGGCGTGTCACAGGCTTCGTGAAGCGACCTTGTTTCGACATGCTCTGCGCGCTCGCCGTGATCACCAACTCCATGTGACTCCAAGCAATCTGTTGAAGTTTAGGGCAATAGGGAAAAAGGGCGGTCAACCAGTAGGATGTACAAGGCCTGTCAAGTACTTCTTGCATGATGACTTTGCGTCTCAAGTACGTACACGGAACCGATAATGGGCGTCAACGGGACCGGAAATGTCATCATAACACGAATACGATTGCGATGCGAACGCGAATGCACGCGAATACTACTACCTACTACTAGTGCCAGTACTATTACAAGCGCAAATACTAAATCTAGTACCAATACGATTCTAGTACTTCTACGTAAACTCAGCAGAGCAGTGTGAACAGTCCGTACCGCAGATGAAATCTCGCAACTCAACCCCCCAACGCAGATTCGGGCTCAGGGTTCAGCGCAAGGCATCCAACCCTAAACCCCAAACCCTACACCCTACACCGTAACCCTACCCCCTAAGCCCTACGCCTTAAGCCCCAAACCCTACACCCTAAACCCTAAACCCTAAACCCCATGCCAGCAATCTGAAATCCTCCAAGGTTTTTGGGTGTGGAGGTGGAGCTGAGCAAGTCGTACCCGGGTGGGCTTCCCTTGCCGTATGTCATCTTGCAATACACGCATCCTGACCAGTTTTAGGGTTTAGGGTTTAGGGTTTAGGGTTTAGGGCTCGGGTGTTAGGGTTTTAGGGTTTGCAGGGTTCTCCGCACCTAAGAGTTGCAGGTTTCTTTTTGCCTGTAGGCCTTGGCGACCAAAGTTGAACCGTTCAAAAGGGTTTAGGGTTTGGGGTTTCGGGTTTGGGGTTTAGGGTTCATATGCCTTAAGTAGGAATTATAGTAGTAATAGCGCAAATGGCCCCAATTTTAAGGTTCCTGTCCCTCCCAGAAAAGGTTGTGGGGTCTACGCAGGTTTCTGAGGTGCTGGATTCCAAGGTTTAGGGTTTAGGGTTTAGGGTTTAGGGTTTAGGGTTTAGGGTTTAGGGTTTAGGGTTTAGGGTTTAGGATCATCCACTATTTTCTGAAGAACCCCCACAAAAAAGTGATTTCTTATAAGGGCAAGGTAGGGATCATTGTCTTCTTATTCTTGGGGGAGGGGGCCCCTAAACCCTAAACCCTAAACTCTTAAGCACATTGCAACCCCTAAACCCGAAGCCCTCAAGCTTGATCGGGATGTCATGGAGGAGCTGTGACGTGCCTGGAGCTGTAAGCTCCAAAGCCAAACACCCCCCCCCCCCCCCCTCAAACATGCAATCCTAAACCGAGTTCAGGGTTTGAGGCTGAAGGTTTTGTTTAAGGTTCAGCTTGTTGAGAGTTGAGGGTTGAGGGGTGAGGGGTGAGGGGTGAGGGGTGAGGGTTGCGGGATGAGGGTTTGGCTAGGTGCACGAACGTGCTTGTGCTAGCATCTTTGGCTGGATTTGAAGTCTGAACCATCCCCCTCAAAATACCAAGGAAGTATGCAACCTGCAAGAGGGCCACAGAGGATACTACTATTTGCTTAAGAACCCCAAAAAATGTATAATATCAATCCCTCTATTGCGCTTATAAGAAAGAATGTGTTTTTGAGTTTTTGAGTGTTCCTAAGCAATTAGTAGGACAGTGGAGCTAAGAGCCCAAATGTGGGTGGAAGTTTAGGGTCTACCTGAGCCCACCCCCATAATGTAGGAAGTTGTCTAAGTTTTAAGGTTGAGGGTTTAGGGTTTAGGATTTAGGGTTACCCGCTTTATAGTTCGGCGCCTTAGAATTAGGGCCAATTTAAGGTAGGCCAAAAGGGGCCCATGACTTAGAGTAGCCACCAGATCATCATGGAGCATGTTGCGCTGAGTTTGGGGTCGGGAGAGGGCAGTTTAAGGTTTGGGTTTAGGGTTTAGGGTTTAGGGTATGGGGTTTAGGGTTTAGGGTTTAGGGTTCGGGGCTCTTGATCCTCGGCGTTCAGTGCAAGAGCCTGAAGAGTTTCCAAGAGTATCACATACATTCAGCAAAGTGGGACTTGTTTGTACAAGGGTTCACAACGATGCTTCGTGAGAGGTACAGCGATGTAATCTGAGAGGTTAGGCTTTAGGTTTTGGGGTTCAGCCGATTCTGTCGTTGCGGGCGGTTGTTGTCTTGTATGTGCTTCTTGCCCGGCTCGTACCATAAAATCATGAAGGAACGGCTCATAAAGGATCAGTCTCTAACATGTTGTCCATTCATATGCGTAACCCCATATGGGGATTTACGAAAATACGGGCTCCTAACCCCAAATAGTAGGATTCCCTTGTAAGAAGGGCCCCAATAGTAGCCCGAATTTCGGAAACCCCCATGTGTGAAAAAGCCTAAACCCTTGACCCTTAACCCTAAACCCTTAACCCTAAACCCTAAACCCCTTACGCCTCCTGTTGAACCCCAGCTCCATTCAGGTACGCGCTCTGGTTCACCGCCGAGCTTGCTCTCCGTGTCCTTGCATATGGCGCGAGCCAACTCTTCTGTTCAGAGGATCCTCACGGGCACATTTAGGGTTTAGGGTTTAGGGCCTAGGGATCAGGGCTTTTAGGGTTTAGGGTTTAGGGTTTAGGGTTTAGGGTTTAGGGTTTAGGGTTTAGGGTTTAGGGTTTAGGATCCAGTTACCAAAACAACACCAAGTCCTAAGCCGCAAGGTCCCGACACCTTGGTCAAAGGCCCGAAACCCTGAATCCTAAAAGCCCTGACTTTTAAGTTGATTTTTCCCATAATACTAGGGCTTGGCATACCTTGACCTTTCTCCCTAAACCCCAATATTTTTTTGCACGGCCGGCTGTAAGAGAGGCCTGGGGAATTTCCCCCCCCCCCCCCCCCGAAAAAAAATAATAATAATAAAGCAACCCTAAGCCCTAAACCCTAAAACCCCCCCACCCCCCGAGAAGAAGAAACATTGTCTCCACCCCAAACCCTACACGGAGGCATTGTGGACCTACTAAAGCTTGGACCCTTTGAGGAGTTTCGGGTTTAGGGTTTCCCCCCTAAACCTTGTGCAGTTCATGTCCCCTGGCGCAAGGATTGGGCCTGGAGTTCCCATGGCTGCAACAACAGAGACCGTCCGGTTTGACTGGGTTTAGGCTTCAGGGTGTAGCGGAGCAAAGCTTATTTCTATTAGGCACAGAGGCCCGGAATAAAGCTATTTAGCATGGGTTCCTTGATAGCGGTTTCCAGCCTTCTAAGAAACAACCCTAAACCCTAAACCCTAAACCCTAAACCCTAAACCCTAAACCCTAAACCCTAAACCCTAAACCCTAAACCCTAAACCCTAGACCCTACAATATTGGTCCTAAACCCTAAAGCCTATGTAGGCGACAGGTGCCATCGCGCAGAAGTCCCTGAGGTGACAAAAAAAACCCTCAAAGGGTAGGGTTCATTCATATATGTATAGGGGTGGTAAATCCTAAACCCTAAACCCTAAACCCTAAACCCTAAATCAGCCACCCATATGGCTCAATTTTAGGGTTCCTTTGGTCCCCAAGGTCCCTTTAGGGTTTAGGGTTTAGGGTTTAGGGTTTAGGGTTTAGGGTTTAGGGTTTAGGGTTTAGGGCTTAGGGTGCCAAAGTATGGATGCCCTTTTATTTGAGAAAGCCTATAAGATTGCCTCACGCGGAAGGGGCACTCTTCAAACCCAGATCACCCTAAGCCCCTAAGCTCAGGGTTCTCAACCCTAAACATCCCTAAACCCTAAATAAACCCTAAGCCCTAAACTCTAAACCCTAAACCCTAAACCCTAAACTGCTGAGGCTTTCTCGACCTCTTTGTAGTCCTCACTTCCCTCTGGGAAGTCGCCACGGACGTCCTCCTCGCCGTGCAGCAGGAGCCAACAAGGTTTAGGGTTTGGGGTTTAGGGTTTAGGGTTTAGGGTTATTTCGGGTTTAGGGTTCAGGGGCTTGTGGTGCCTGAAGGGTTGATCCGCTCAGGGTGCTGGGTTCCGGGTTCAATATCAGGTCTTCGAGGTTTCCATACATGTGTGTGTTTTTTTTGGGGTTTAGGGTTTTAGGAGAGTTTAGTAGGTTCGAATGATGAGGTTCGGATAGGGTTCGGAATGAAGTCTTCAAATATCCATGGCCTCTGGCAGGCTGGCAGGGTTTGGTTGTTGAGTTCCCTCGAAAATGCGGGTCAGGATGCAAAAGACTTCGTTGGGGAAGCGCGAGGCCCTAGACCCTAGACCCAAAACCCAAAACCCTAAACCCTAAACCCTAAACCCTAAACCCTAAACCCTTGCAAACCATAAACCCTAGACCCTATTCAGGGGGCATCTTCGGGTCGGGGCAGGATGGCATGGGCGACGTCAACAGCATGACTGGCTTAAGAGCCTTTCGGATTGTGCGGATCACCCGCATCGTCAAGGCTAGGGTTTGGGGTTTAGGGGGTTTAGGGTTTAGGGTTTAGGGTTTAGGGTTTAGGGTTTTGGGTTTTGGGTTTTGGGTTTTGGGTTTGGGGAGATCGGGTTATTTGAGGCTTGACAGAGTCACCCTAAACCCCTAAAAGCCTTAAAAAGAACAAAGCCTGTGAAGCCCCCCTGAAAAGTCCTGAAACCTTTGAAGCAAGCCTAAGAAACCCTAAACAACCCCACGAACCCCTAAGCGACCCTAAAAGACCCTGCACAACCCTGATAACCCTAAGCCATTAATCGTTGACCCAAAGCCGTTCGGTTGGGTTACCCTTAGCAAGCCCAGAATCCACAAAAAGCATGCCCTATTTCTGTTCCCACGGGAGGACCTGGTTCTAAAGCCTAAACCCTAAACCCTA